CCCCAAAACCCCAAAACCCCAAAACCCCGGTATAGAATATTTAGATGAGAATAGTGGATAGGAGAATATTGAAAAGGCTTGAGAATAATAGTATAGTTTAAATTAATTTAAATAATGATGCACACTTCATTCAAAAATCATCATACATTTAACTTCCGCTATAAGCAGGTATACTTTATGCTCTGCTTTCTAAGTCTTCTTGTCACAAATACTTATGGTTAAGGCAGTTGCACCGATTCGAAATCAACTCCTTATTCTGGGTATTTAGACACTCGCCTGTTTTATGGTTCCTTTAAAAGAGATCTTAATTCATCAATAACAATAAGAAATCCATACTCAGGCTAACTTAATTTAACGCAGGCTACTGTCATGTTTTGGGCTAAACTTCCTGCACTCTCGAATGATACTACTCTTTAAAGAGGAAGATTTTTTGAGTGCAACAACACTTTCTCTGGACGACTAGATAATAATAGTCTTCAATTAAATGTATCTCAAAATTTCAATTTTACTAATGGAACCGTAAACAGCACAGTAATAAGATAAACTTTGAATGTGAGATAATTTAACAGTAGTCTTGCTGGGTTATTGGAATGGAATCACTACAGCTTTTCCTTCAGAGATCGTAGAATGAGAATTCACTTCAATGGTCTCCAAATATCAGAAGTGTTAATGAATTATACAACAATAAATACTACTAGAAATACTGATATATGCGTGATAGGCAACTCAATTAATCATACTGACCCACTTCACGCCTTTATGAGATACTTCGCTATGCTCAGCTCTGGGTTGGCCTCAAATACTTCTTTAGAATTACGGATGAGGTCTGTGTTTTTGCCTTCTGAAAGTGTGGTTTTGGTTTATTTCAAATTTGACAAATATTTTAACCGCCAAGAAACCTACATTAATAACTCAACAAGACAGATTAGAATTCAGAACTTCACAATTGAAAATAGCATTGAGCCTGAATCTGTATGCTACTGCACTTAAAATACTCCTTCTACCTTCCTCCGATTAAATCAAAGCTTCTTGCTTGATGAGATTTAGCTGCCTAAGTTAAATGATACATTCTAAAGAATTTTAACTAACGGATTTACTTTTCAAATTTGGCTTTTCCCTCTTAACGTCTCTAGTACTCTAAAAAATATGTCGATAGTAAGAATATCTGATAAATATGAGATTCTGGTTTAAAATTCTACTTAACAATTTATAATCAAAGTCACAAATACCACATCAGGAATCGTACAAGAGATAATTTTTACAAGTTCAAGAATTGTTTTTAGATATTGGTCATAGTATACATTTGTAGTTACAATGAATTAATCAATACTGTTTGTTGACGGAGTCGAAGTTCAAAGAATCAATGCAAATTTAACAGGTTTTATAGCCTATATTGATGAACCTTCTGTTAATATAAAACTTGGAGAAAACCTTGACTCACTTGTATATAAAGTAGCTCTTCTAATAAACCCTTAAGAAGTACCAGATAATATTTCAGCTTAAATTCTTAATTCCTATGCTAATCACACTCAAAATTAAATCTCACAAATTTCAGCTAATTTCACCTATATCCTGAATTTACAACTAACAAGAGATCAACTTATTCATGACAGAAGCTTCGCATCTGATTCAAGGTTAGTGACATTTGACTAAGTTAGAGGAGCATATTTCGTTTAATCATATCAAGTTGATGATTTGAATTACACTGTGAACATAACAAGCATCAATATCTTTTCTGCCTTTAAATTTGAACAGAACAATATGCTTTGTACATCACAGACACCAAATTCAGTATAAGCACTGTGGGATGGTTATGCATGCAAAAGTTAAAGTTATAGTCCTATGTTTTAGGTTTTAAAACCTCCAGTCAACTCTCTCAGTGATTAAGCTAATACAGAATAAAGCAGTAATCAATAACAGCAATAATAATTACTTAATCCTTATTTAAGCACCTAGATATCAGGCAACTTCAGCTAAATGACTATTGATTTGTGGTTTAAGTTGAATTATCAAAACATCAGCAGCATCTTGTATTAAGATCAGACTATTATTGGCATGTATCCTAATAAATCGACTAGCAATCTCTCGAGTGACAAATCTTTTAAGGTTTACATGAACATCTAAGATAGTTATGATGAAAGCATGAACTTGACATCAAGTAATTATAAAGTTATTTGTGAGAATTCTGTATTCTTTGACTCTTAAAAGTTTTAAATTCAAATCTAAAATGCTTAGATCATTGCTAATAACACCTGGATACATCTTGCTGAAAATATAGATGCCACTCAACTATAGACTAGCGGCTAATTAATTGCTTACTCATTAGCTTTGAAAAATGAAGAGAGTAATAACGCCTAGTATCCAAAAAGTTAGATATCAGATGTATAATCTTTTGACATATTTATCGGAAGTGACATTTAAAATATGGAATAATTTGGTGGGCTTATAAGAGAGCTTAGAATCTTTAATTCAAGCCTTAATTTTAACTAAGTGCGATCTCTTAGATTTTAGAAATTACCGGTAACATATCAAAACAAACTTGTCACTTAATACTCTTTCGAAAACGGCTATTAAGACATGATTTTTAATTCTGCAACACCAAATACTCAAGCTAATATAAATTAGTTAGCACATTACTATGTTGATGCAAAGAAATACGTCTGGCAGAATGAAAGTTAATTGATTATATGCGGATAAGGATATCTCTTCAACGGATAATGCTGTTCATTAGTAGCCTTTCTACCATAATTATCTTTCAAAGAGAATAATGAAACTGTATTTGTAAACTCCACTCTTGGCAAAGAATCATTTTATGATGCAACATCAAACTTCACATGGAGACTAGTATCAGTCATCCCGAATAACACTTTTTACTAAAATATCCTGAACTCAACTCTTGTTTTACAAAGAACTAACCAAAACTTAGTGTTTAACAAATCAGCAATTTACAGAAATAGTACTTTTGTAGTTGAGGTTTAAATTCAAAACATTTTCTAAAATTAGGTTGCTGTCTAAAGGATAGGCATTACTATATAATGTCCTCTAGTGAGAATGAATTACACTTAAAATCCTATCATTCATCCTTGGGGGTATGTTAGAAAATTAGCTGTCCAGGCTTTATTATTAAACGATTGTTATAACAACTCTTTGACTGTGAAACAGATATTGTGGGCGAATTCTACCACTGGATCATTAGGAAATCCATTTACTTTGTCAACAGATAAGATGATTGTAACTTACTCAAATGAGACAAGAGTCAGAAATAATAGTGACATGTGGTTGAATTTAAGTGTGCAATTCAGTAACAATTAGTTTGTTAATGACACTAGAATTGTTAGATTCTTATCTCAGCCAGTTGTATTAAGTGTTAATCCTGAGTAATTTTACTTGCTTAATGGATAGCCATTGTCCTTTAATGTCAGCTAAACTTAGTTCTTGGTAAATACTGTGAATAGGACTCAATAAGGATACTAAATCAACTGTACTAATAGATTTAACTTTAAAAATTCAACTCGTTCTTGTAGTATTGACTAAAATACAGGTTTATTTGGGCTAAGTAATATTGACCTTGTAGATCCTATTATAGCATATTTAGATTATCCCTTCAATATTAGTGCAGGAATTTCAGGTACATCCTTGCTTGCTCAAAAGCAAATATCTGCAAAGTGGTATAATCTTGGATAAGGAACTGATAATTGTCCTGGAGTTGAAGTGGTAGATTATTTCAATGTGAGTAAAAATAACTTAACTACATAACTTCACACACCTAAAGTAATTCTTGACTGTCTATTAGATGACTAGGTAACACAAAAGAGATATAGTAGGGTAAATGTTACTAATGAGTTTGATTAGCCCACACTTGATTTATACAAAGTTATTTACAATCTTACTTTGGGAGTCAGCAATTTCAATCAAACTTTTGAGCTTTTAAATGATAACTATACTTTCAGATTTAGGAATAATAATACTATAATTTAAAGGATAAGGGTGGGTGATTTGATTCCAATAAATATGACTATGCATATCCTTGATCTCGGTAGTGAAAACAAAACAATTATTAAGTATACTAAGATTCTTAATGTTAATGTTCTATTCTCAGATCTAGTTGTGATTAGCAATATTACATCAGATAAAAATGGTTACATAGCTTTTGATCAAGAGCTTATCATTGATGCCTCTTTGTCTTACGATCCTGCTTTTAATATTTCTGCAACACAAACTAATACATCTATGCTCACCTATTTATACTACTGTAATAATTAGCCTTGCCCATTAAACGCTAATTAAATGAATAAAGGTGTTTTAAGGTTAACAATTGTTGATGCTATTAAATTAGGATATTATTACAATACTCCCTATAACTTCAGTATAGCTATTAACAACCCACTAATCTTTAGATAGGCTTTAATGTATGCAAATTATACAGTCAGATTCAGCCCACCTAATAAGATTGGTACACATACATGTCCTAGGATATTCTATTATAGACAAAACACAACAAATACAACTATTAGACAGACAAATTATACATTTAATACATTAAATGTGACAGATCAAGAAATAAAAGTAGGTTATGAAAACTGTGATACCCTAGCTTACACTCCTTAGCTAATGATCATTGATTTTCCAGCAAAGCAACTCTATTCAGCTTATTCTAAATAGCTTTCATCAAGAGCGTTTAACTAATCAATATTTTAGCTTCAATCTTAACTCCTATTAAATAACATTGAATTACTGGAATCTTAAATCGTAAAATCTACTCTATTTTTCAACTATACATTAAACAGACTGCAAAAGATAGGATACAGCACAACTGAGTTTTAAATTAATAGGACATTTTCACGATTAATTCCAAAAACTATCCCTAATTCTGCAGATAATAAAGTCTAAATTAGTTTTGAGGATCCAATCGCAATAGATTCATCTTAATCTTATGACCCTGATCAACCATACATTCAAAAAAATTACCAAGATTTCACCATAGTTAGAAATTGTTCACAAAATATTTAGCAACTATGCAACCAACTTGATTAGATAAAAACATTTGAGTTGAATAAAAACTTGAGAAAGTAATATAATATTTAAGCAGTGGGTTCTACTTTTTGGATTTCGTTAAGACTAGTTGCTCAAAATAGAACATCTTAAGTAGAAAATATTACATATGAAGTTATTAAATAAGATTATCTAAAATGCTTGACAGTAAAAGATCTTTATTCAAATATTGTCATTAACAGAGATGAAATGAAAATGCCAATAACTATTAGTCCAACTGCTTAAAGTTCCTGCAGTTATGTATTTATAATTGATAAGCTAGAATGGAGTACAAACTATTCAAGCTAATTTTGGAATAGCAATAAATTCTTTAACTACGAGGCAGTAATCAGCAAAGCTCAAATGTTGTTATTGCCTTAAGATTAGACGATCTTACTTAGAGTTAGAGCTAAGTATATGGTCTTAGAAAATAAAATCGATACATTTTATTCGTTGCCGTTTAATTATTCGATAAGAATATAATTGCCTGAAATCAAGGCTTAAATTGATGTCAATGACCAAATTAATACTTCAGATGAAACTTCTATAATAACAGCTTCACTCTTAAATGTTCCATCTAATGTCTCTACAAGAGGAATGACTTGCAAATTTCAATGTAAGTTTAGGAAAGAAAATTCTCAAGAATGTGGTAGTAGAGATTTATGCCAGTTCGATTATATGCCAATCTTGAAGAATTTCATAATTAATAACAGTTTTGCCTACTCACAGTATCTAATCATTGTAGATATCTCTTTAGACAATACAATTTACACGACGAAAAAAGTAGTATCAATTAGATCATCAGAAATAGCACCTAAATGTTCAATTGAAATAAAGAAAAATCGGGATATTGAGATTGATAAGTAAACAATCTTCTCAGCTTCATGCTCTAATTACAATGTTTCTGCACTATAATACTTTTGGTATTTAGATGCATTCGATGGAGGTAGTGTTATGAATGATATATAGTCTCAATCAATAAAATTAAAAGAGAATGCACTCTTGAATTTATAAGGACTAGATCCAATATTACAAGTTAAAACAGAGCTCACAAAATTAACAGCTCATGACTGCTTAAGTTCATATATGCTATCTATTCCCTCAAATGATAACATAGTCCTTGGTAGTCTAAATGTTGATGCAAAGAATGTTGTATTTAGACGATAAATCTAAAAAGTTGAATTCAAAAATTATACTGATCAAATGGGTGGCGATCTATTATTCACACTTAAGTACCAAACAAAAGCACAAAAAAATTATACTTTGATATCCAAGACTAGTATGAAAGAGTTGTATGTAATTATACCTGAGTGTTAGTATCTCTATTTAAATGTCTATGACAATAAGGGATCCCTAAAAATTCAGTCATTTGATATGAGTTTTGGGAAAAGCCTCGCAACAAGCTAGTTATAATTTGTAGAATTCTATAATGATCTACAAATGAGCATGGATCTGGATATCAACTAGTAAAGTAGCTTCTTAGGAAAGACACCTGAGATATTTATGAATATGGTCGAACAGAGTATATATTTGTTCATTGAATGTTATGATTAATTAGACAGTGAAATGATTCATTACTATGAACTAGATATTTACTAAAAACTGAAAGACTTAGTCTAACTCTCAAATATCTACAATGGAATATCTGATTCAAAAATCAATACTCTTGTGACTATGGTTAGAGCTTTAGATCTTTTAATCAACGATAAAAGTTAAGCATTTCTAACTTTAAAATCCTCCAACATTTATTAATTCTTAACACAAAATATTGATTTAGAGATGCTATCTTTAAGCAAAAATGAAAATTAAGAGGTTAACATGCAATTTTACAGTATTTTGCAATCAATAAAACCATATTTAAATATGACTGCTAGTTAATGGGTTGATTTTAATCAAACAATCTCAGATTCGTACTCATTTATAAACTAGAATCTAATGAACGGAGAAGTTTTAATTTTGGACTCTCAAAATACAACAGTAAAGAAAATTATTAAGCAAGAGCTTGCTTAAAATGAGATCGAATTTAGTGCTTTTGGAGTAGAAATCCAAATAAATTAGAATGATTTAAATGACATTGATGCGCCAGAAATGCTTATTAGTATTCAAACAAAAGATGACTCATTGTTTTAACAGTATTCTAACCCAAATAACACAAGAATTTCAACAATTTATGATATAAGTCTTACAGATATGTCAGCTAATAAACTTGTCGTACAAAATAAATCCCTTGTTATTGCCTTCAATAACATAGATACTAAAAGCCACAAAAACATTAAATGTGCATATTTTGATGAGGATGCAATGTAGTGGTAATTAGATAGTCAAGGGGAATTAGTGACTTAAGTTGTCGAACAGGAAAACCAAGTATATTGTTAGACAAATCATTTAACTGTATTCACCGTATTTAATGTAACTATAGACTCAGGGCCTATCAATATTCCTAATGACCCGAACAAGCCATCGTAGGATGGTAAAAATAAAGATTCAAAAGCCAATGAATAAGTCATAATATCTCTTATTCAAATCGCTATTATCCTAGCTGCTTTTATTATACTTACTATTTCTGCAAAATTCGAGCATTAAAAGACCTTAATATTCAGGTAAAATGATTATTCCTAGCTATAAAAAAGACTAAGCTTAAAAGTGATTTTCACAAATTTCGCCAGCATTCTAGTATTATTAAAATCAGAGAGAGTAAATTGCTTCGCTAGATTCTTGATTTTTATTAATTATTTGCTAGTGATTTCATTCTGGACTTTAGTTAATCTTGCAGTTTACAGAAATCACAGGACTCTTGGGGATGAAATCTTTGTGATAATCACTAACATTTGTATTATTACTTTTCTCTCTCCAATAACAAGACAAATACTAGTTTATAAGTTCTATGAATTTATACCAATTAAGTAATTTAGTTCAATACCATAATAGCAAGACAAATCATTGATAAAACCTTAACAAAATATTAATCATACTGGAAACAATCGGCCTTAGATTAAAATTGATGAGGATCTGAACTAGATTAATCTGAAACTGGATAATTAGATACCAGCTTCAACTTCAAGCAACCTAAAGAAATCAAATAACAATAAAGGATACCAATCTTAGCAGCTTCATACTTCCTCTAACTTGATAATGAATTTATCAGATTCTCCTATTGGAGCAGTAGATGCAGAAAAGATTAACAGAGGAGATGAACTAACGACATCTAAATTGAAAGATAAAACAGCAGCAGTTACCATTGAAGATGACAGAACTTAGGGCAATCAATACAGATCACAAAGATACAAACCTAGCGGGCTTATCAATATGGATGAAACAGAGCAAAATCTAAAGTAACCCGAATTCGAGATTGATTTTGAAAATGAGAGCAATTGCTTTGATAAATTAGGAAATCCATTATAAAGTAAATCTAGAAGGTCTAGCCTGATAGCAATTGATCTAATTAGTAGCGAAGAAGGAGATTAGCCTCTTGGATTTTCAGATAGAAACATCATGCAATTAGCCCTAAACTTCAATGCTCATAGTATGTCCAAGTAAAAATAAGACAAAATATCAGATAATGAAGAGGACGAGGAAGATGAATATGAAGAGGATGAGCAAGAATTCCAGTTTGAAGGAGGCTCGGATGAAGAAAATAATGGTCCAAGTCTTAGTGGCAATAGACTTCATAATCAAGATGCTGGTAGTCGATCCCATAAATACTAAATGAATGATGGTAATGCAAATAACGTTATAAGCAATGGGTACTAAGAAAACAAGTTCTAAGGTTATGAGGAAAAGATCATTGTTAAGTAAGTTTAAATCGCCTTAGTCTAGATTGTATCACTCTTGGTTTTGATTGCCTTGAACGCCTATTTGTTTTATAATGTTAATATTGCTGAAGAAAACTCAGTGGTGAAATCATACATTGCAGTAATAATTGTAAGCGTAATCGCACAGTTTGTTATCATTGATTTTCTGATAAGTTTCATTGCATCCTACTATATTAAGAAGGTAGCCTTAAAAGATTTAAGCTAGTGCCAGTCTATCATAGTTTTTACCTTTATCACCGTAAATAGAATAAGAGCATTGTGATTAAATATATCAATTAACATGATTATATATTGTAATAAATTTCAATAATCTTAATTTCATTCATTCTCTAAATTTACTCTCATGGGGTTTTGGGGTTTTGGGGTTTTGGGG